ACTATAGCACGTTATTCAGTAAGTATAGCACGTTAACCTGTAAGTATAGCACGTTATCTTGTAAGTATAGCACGTTAACCTGTAAGTATAACAGGTTATCTTATAAGTATAGTACGTTAACCTGTAAGTATAGCACGTTAACCTGTAAGTATAGCACGTTATATAATAAGTATAGCACGTTATATTGTAAGTATATCATGTTAACCTATAAGTATAGCACATTATATTGTAAGTATAGCACGTTATCTTGTAAGTATAGCACATTATATTGTAAGTATCGTTAACCTGTAAGTATAGCACGTTAACCTGTAAGTATAGCACGTTATACTGTAAGTATAGCATATTATTCAGTAAGTATAGCACATTAACCTGTAAGTATAGCTGATACGGGTGTATCTTTTCTTTGGAACTTAGCGATCCTCATGGGAGCTTGAGGATAGATGATTCTCATGATAGCATAAGAATAGAGGTGTCAAACAGTACAGGGGAGCGTAGGTTAGAGCGTGGAACGAGACGACGAGCAGCAGATTCGAAGAATTCAGTTTTCATCTAGTGAGTCGACTCATACATGTACATGAGTCGACTCATCATGTTGAGTCGACTCATGCCTGTCATGAGTCGACTCACGAAATGCAACCGTTTTGTCAAAAGTTTCTGTTCGGTCGACTCATCAGTTTATGAGTCGACTCATCAGTCATGAGTCGACTCATATGTAGTTTTGAATCGACTCAAGAAATAAAGTGATGTTAGCAAAAGTTTCTGACTAGTCGACTCATCAGTTATGAGTCGACTCATATGAGGTCATGAGTCGACTCATAACTGTTCATGAGTCGACTCATCAGAGTTTTCCAAATTCGTTAAGGACTATTTACGCGTTTCCCTGTTTGGGTTGGGCTTGGTTATTTACCACTTTGACACCCTCGTTTGTACACCTATATAAGGGATTGTTTTAGGGTTTAAAACAATCAGAGAGTTTAATCAAGAGAGATTAAATTGTAATTGAGATTTGGAGAGCATGTTCTTTAATTCTAGAGTGAGATTGTGAGAGATTGTAAAGTGCATACTTATAATCTAGAGAAGCTATTTTCCTTCGCCCAAAACCTGAGTTATTCTTGTGTTCTTATTTTTTTCTCCTCAACCCACCTTTGATAATTCCGAGATAAAAGGTGTTCGCACGACAACTCGTATCAATAGCACGTTAACCTATAAATATAATCAATAGCACGTTAACCTATAAATATAGCACGTTATACTGTAAGTATAGCACGTTATTCAGTAAGTATAGCACATTATTTAGTAAGTATAGCACATTAACCTGTAAGTATAACACGTTATACTGTAAGTATAGCACGTTATACTATAAGTATAGCACGTTAACCTGTAAGTATAGCACGTTAACGTGTAAGTATAGCACATTATACTATAAGTATAGCACGTTATCTTATAAGTATAGCACGTTAACCTGTAAGTATAGCACATTATATTGTAAGTATAGCACGTTATTCAGTAAGTATAGCATGTTATCTTGTAAGTATAGCACGTTAACCTGTAAGTATAGCACATTATATTGTAAGTATAGCACGTTATTCAGTAAGTATAGCACGTTATTCAGTAAGTATAGCACGTTAACCTGTAAGTATAGCACGTTAACATGTAAGTATAGCACGTTATACTATAAGTATAGCACGCTATACTTACAGGATAACGTGCTATACTTCCTGAATAACGTGTTATACTTATAGGTTAACGTGCTATACTTACAAGTTAGCGTGCTATACTTACAAGATAATGTGCTATACTTTCTGATTAACACGCTATACTTACAGGTTAACGTGCTATACTTATAATAAAACGTGCTATACTTACAGGTTAACATGCTATACTTACTGAATAACGTGCTATACTTACAATATAACGTGCTATACTTACAGGTTAACGTGCTATACTTACATGATAACGTGCTATACTTACATGATAATGTGCTATACTTACAGGTTAACGTGTTATACTTAATGTATAACGTGTTATACTTATTGTTATCGTGCTATACTTACAGATTAACGTGCTATACTTACTGTATAACGTACTATACTTGCATGATAACGTAATATACTTACAAGTTAACATCACAGAATTTATCTATCATCAAAACTATCTATCTATCATCAAATCTACCATAGAAGCCACATAACAACAGTAATATAACTGAAGAATGCAATTGACAAACTATATACAACGTTCATACAAACATATGTTTCATAATAACAAACAAACTATATACAAGTTGCATGACAAACTATATTCCAACAGCAGTCCCACATGCTTCATAATGACAAACATATGTTCATACTGACAAACATACATTAATAAAAATACTTTACAAATCAATTTCCAAACATATGTTTACACTTGGTTAACTATTGATATCACATTTGGCATCTAGCATCCGGGGAATTAGTCTTGAGGATCACGTTTGTCTCCTGAAATCAAAATATAACCGAATCAAAAGAACAATAGAGCAATAGACTGAATATAAGCGGTTCAATAAACATTACACTTATATCAAATATACCTTCAGATAGAAATAGAGCAACGATACGAGCTCTATGTCTTGCACAATCCTTTTGGTCAATTAAATTTGGTTGATCGGAAACGAGGCTAAACATGTACGCCATGAAAAACACCCTGCAATCCAAGCTACTGCAAGTTCAAATGTTTGCAATATCAATATAACACTCTTGGCCTGCAATTATATAGTTTCTATATGTTAGAACATACGAAAGAACAACAAATGAATAAGTCGAATACACTAACCCACGTTGTTGAGGTACGTCTAAGTTATGTGACGATGCTTGCGTTCAGCAACTCAAGCAACCTTACCAGTAAAGGTGCTTTCAAGCCTATTTTTAAGGGCCTCTATGCTACGCCCTGTATTTTTCTTCACTCCGTAGTTTACACCGTTTGCTTGAGCGCTCCCGGCTTTTTGGGTAACTTTTTGTTGACTTGTCTCTGATTGATAACGAATTCTTACAATACGGTATTTTTGGAAAGCAGCAGTAGTAGAATTGTCACTTTTCTTAACAAAAATAATTGACCGAAAGACAGGACAGGTAGTACACTCAAACCTCTTAGACTGATTGCTTTAAGGAATCCGCACTCAGTTGCTATTGATTGAGCGAACGCATTTCGTCTTTATAGCAGACGTCGGATGCCCTCTCGTGTGATTGATTGACAGACGGTTTCATTAGTGGACTCAGATCCCCTCCCGATCAGTTGTTGAGCGGTCGAATCGAAATGAAAACATATCTTTGAAGGCAGGCACTCGACTGGATATCCAAGGTGGGGCTCGAAGCTGCCATCTCCAACTAGTTGGTTGAATTCTTTAATCGACAGGTGATTACTAAAAGAATCTAGCATACTCCATACCCACATCTTAGTGATGACACTACGACAATTGAACATGCAAATTTGCTTCCAGTGATTGTTATGCGTTATTAGCAATTCTTTCAACCATTGACACTCAAACAATGAAGCTTAAGTTTGAGTCTCCTACTCTCTACAAACACCTACTGTTATCTTTAATGGAAATAAATCACCAAAACAAAAACCAGCTGCAATAATGCTGATACCTCAAAAAATCCCTCATCTGCGTTAACAATTTTGGCATTACCCCCAACAATATAAAACTAAACTACCATCAATTTATCACAAAATCCTCATTTTCAAAGACTCAAACAAGCATCAAAACAGATGGTGTTCACTGTTCAACATCAAGTCCACCGACAATCTACATCAGACACCAAAAACAGAAAATACCTAGAAATTTTTTCGATTGAAACTCCTCATATCAATCTATGTTTCTCAAAAAAATACTTCTAAAATCAAAAAAATAAATAAATACTTGAGGAAGATAAGAGAGAGGGGAGTCCATACCCTCGTGGTTACAGTAGACTTGGTCGACAAGAGAGAGGGTCGAAACGCTGGGCGAATAAGAAGAGATCTCGTCTTCAGGCTCTTCCTCGATGCGACGGCAACGACGACGACGGGCGATAGCGGCAAGAGGCTTTCGTTTTTTAATTTAGGGCTGAGTTGAAAATGGTGAGGAGGAGAGATATTAATATGGGGCCAAGGAGTATTTTGGGGATTCTGATTAAATACAAGTGATGAAAGTACTGTATTTTGAAGTTTGGGTTTAAAGATAAATACAAAAAGTGAATTGGACTTAAAGATACAAATAATAGTACTTGGTTTTAAAGATAAATGGGAGTAAATAAATGGGTTTGAAAGCAAAAACCCCTTTTTTTAAACACTGCATTTTGAACTTGCCTCCCTCTAAGTTTTAATATATTTGATTTAATTATTGTATACTTATAACTAGAAATCATATTTACTCCTCTATATTTAAAGAAGAATCTAAGTTTTAATACATTTGATTTAGAAATAATATATGCTCTTCTATACTTAAAGAAGGATCCAAGTTTTTAAAACATTTGATTTGCTTTACTGTTTATGACACAATGAATTATTTTAGTATGAACAATAATTTATGCTACCATATTTACTGTGCCATTTATTGTAGGATGAACAGGATGAATAGAAATTCTTTGGATTCTCCTAAAATATAGAATAGTAGATTTGAAGTCTATTCTGCTGTACCATAATTGCAAAAACAGTATTAATTTTATACTCATATAAAATGGCACGTTGACAACAGGTCCGATATATGAGAAATAAATTGTTGCATACAATTGAATGATGTGAGACATACCTATGCATCCATTAAATACAAATCTTATCCAAACTTTTCAAAGGCGAGCATGGCTTTTTCTGTGACAGAGGAGCAATTGAAATTGCTAGAGTGAGCCTATGTGCTTCCTGTGAATGACTTAGAATGCCCCACTCATATACGAAATGTTTTCATAAAATTTGTACTCATATCAAACACTTACAACCAAATAACAAGATCATGTCAATCCAGATGCCCAATAGCACTGACAATCTCATCTACACATAATCTCAATCATCTGGCAAAAGAATGGATTCTGCAAATGGATCAGTCCATTATTTGGAGCTCCCTCCAACCCAAGAATCTCCGCAATCACATTATAACTCAACGTTCTTAAAAGATGCATTGCTCCTCTAGGCCCAGGACCAACAAGTAAGAACCTCACTGAGAAAATTGCATTGTGTAGATCCAAACCTTGGAACAAGCTGAAAATTTTCTAAGTCTGGAAAACATGCGAACTCAACATGCAGGCGAACCTGCAGTTCAAGCGATCTTTGGAAGTGCAAGCGAGCTCCAAGTGTAGGCGAGCTCCAAGTGCAGGCGAAGCTCACAGCCGAACATAAGTCAGGTGAACTTGTGAGTTCAGGTGAACTTCACAAGTCAGGCGAGATTCGAGTGTTAAGGCGAACCAGCTTGTTAGACGAACTCGTAGAAAAAGATAGATTCTTAGATCTATCTTTTTGACCTAGGGTTTCCCTATAAATAGGGAACCCTGGTCGCGATCTTTAGTAGAGATTTTCCCGAGCGCCTGTAGCAAATTTTTGGCGGCGCTTTCTCCGGCGATTCCTGAGCGGCGATTTTTCAGAGAAAACCCCCGCACGTCCCTGTAGCGATTCTACAGTAGCGCTTTTTGATAGAGAAATGTCAAGGGGTTTGAGATCATCTTCTTTGCAAGCTTTGTAATCTTCTCAAATATTCAAAGAAAATTATTGTGTGGCTCCCAAGGACGTAGACAAGTTGCCGAACCTTGTTAAAATTTTGATGTTCTCTCTTCTATTTTTTCTTTGCAAAGTTTCTTTTATTTGCTGTGATTTCTTCTTTCCTTCTTTCGACACAAGATCCGGAGGGTACGTTCCGCAAGAGGGTTCATTTGACAGGTTGTCGATAGGTTGAACCCCACAACACTCACTACTCTTATTTTGCACGATCTCATACCTTTCATCCAACAACCCAATGATCACCGCAATACCGTCACTCCGAGAATATTGCACCCTCTCCGGCAAATTCTCCTTCAAGGAGACCTTCAGTCTATTTCCATTTCTTACATTTCCAAAACTCGGTCCTTTGTTCATGTTTGATTTTATTTCCGTCGCAGAAACACCAGAAGCAGGCGGCATACAAACAATGGCTATTAATATGTCACCCATTTGGATCAATTTCGATCCAAGGCTTCAAATTTTTGAGAAATATATAGTTTCCTTGGCATATGCCAACCATTCCATGATCTCCTACAAGAGTCAAATGCACATCGTAAAACCCTTCTCTTTCTTCCAATCCAGAAATCAGAACTCCAACCAATATCAATGATCACATTCGTGACCTCAGAATCATCAGGACCAAATTTATGCCTTTTCCGGTCAGGCTCTTCAAAGTAGAGGGTGATCAGGAAGGGAATATCCGTAGGAGCAAGATTGAAATAGTTGAGAATAGTCTGCACCCTGAATATCAAAGGGTACGGACTTATTACATGGCTGGCAAAATTTGGGAGTGTTGGATTTGGGTGTGGATCCAAACCTCAGGCGAGGAGCTTCAGGTGAGCTCCTCAGGCGAGCTCAAAGATCGAGATCCGCAGGGGAGGTCGAGGCGGTCTGTAGGCGAGCTCGAGCGGGGCTGCAAGCGAGATCGAGACGGGCGAGCTCCACGCAGGTGAGCTCGAGGTGGGCGAGCTCCACGCAGGTGAGCTCGAGGCAAGCGAGCTCCACGTAGGCGAATTCCAAGCAGGCAAGCGTGGGTGAGATCCATGCAGGCAAGCTCACAGAAGATGACAAACGACAGCCTGTTATAGGCTGACGTCTCGCCCTGGGGTTCCCTTATAAAAGAGAACCCTGTTCACGAGAAGAAAAATCAGCTTCTTCTCGTGATTTTCTCCTAGCTCCCTGGTGGCGGCGTTCTTTCTCTCTCTGCTCTTCCCTTTTTCTCTCCAGCACTCAAGGATTTAAGAGAGGTGGGGGTGGAATTTAAAGAAGAGGGGATTTGAGAGGGGAATTGAAGAGGAATCTTCACCGTAGCTATAATGAATATTGTATTTATTGAGAGATCTTAAGTTTGAGATCGCTCTTGCATTGTAATTTCTTTGATTAATAAGAAATTAATTTTGTGGCTCCCGAGAACGGAGACAGGTTTGCCGAATCTCGTTAAATCTTAGCGTACTTTTCTCTACTACGTTTTATTTTTAGGGGTTTAGAATAGCCTCAGAATATTTCCAACAACTGATATTAGAGCCTGAAACGATTTAGAGGAAGTCAGATTCAAGTGAGAGTAATGGCCGTAGATAAAGGAAATGTAAGATTAGAGAAGTTTGATGGAACAAATTTTAGATTCTGGAAAATGTAGATAGAGGATTATCTGTATCAGAAAAATCTGTATCAACCCCTTTCAGAGAAGAAGCCGGAGTTTATGAAGGAAGATGAGTGAAACATTCTAGATAGACAATTCATCAGAGTTATCAGATTGACATTAACTTGTAATGTTGCATTCATTATTGCGAAGGAGAAGACCACGACGGGTCTTATGGCTTCACTCTCAAATATGTATGAGAAGCCATCAGCCGCAAATAAAGTTTATTTGATGAGGCGGTTATTCAATCTGAGAAAGGTGGAAGGCGCGTCAGTAGCACAACATCTCAATAAACTCAACACGGTCACAACCCAATTGAGTTCAGTTGAAATTGAGTTTGATGAGGAAGTTTAAGCGTTGATCCTTTTGTCTTTAGTAGAAAACTGGAACGCTACAGTCACGGCTGTGAGTAGCTCATCGAGAACCAACAAGTTGAAGTTCGATGACGTTCGTGATCTAGTTCTCAGTGAGGAGATCTGACAGAGAGAGTCGGGTGAAGCTACAACTTCTTCAGTATTGCATACAGAGTTAAGAGGTAGAAATTCAACTAGAGGGAATGGATGAGGCAAATCAAACTACAGAGGTAGATCAAAGGTCAGGTGGTCCAAATCCAGGAGTCCAAGCAACAACACGAAAGCTATCGAGTGTTGGAATTATGGAAAGACCGGGCATTACAAGAATTAGTGTAAGAGTGTACAGATTAAGAAGGAAGCGAAGGAAGAGGTGAATGTCACTTCCACCTTGTAGGCAATAAAAATTGCCTTTAATCCTTATCAGAGAAGTTCAAAACAAAACTACTAAAACCTCGCCCGAAATAGCAAGAAGGGGAAAAACGCTAATATCTCTCAAACCGGAAGGAATTTGGTAAAATAGATAGAAACAAACCAAACCCTATGGGGTCAGTTTGGTCGGCTTCGTCTCGTCGAGATAGCCGATTTTTATATATAATTCGTCTAATTCCGACTTACGGTTTGAAAGTTATGGCCTATTCTTCGAAGCATGTTCAGTAGCTTGCCTAAAGGCTGAAGCTCGCCTGTAAAGGCCGAAGCTCGCCTGCAAGGAAGTCTGTCTGCAAGGATAGAGCTCGCCTACAGTGTTGAAGCTTGCCTGGATGAGATTCGCAGGCTGAAGCTCGCCTGTAAAGGCTAAAGCTCGCCTGCAAGGAAGTCCGTCTACAAGGATAGAGCTCATCTAACAGCATTGAAGCTTGCCTGAATGAGATTTGCCTGCACAGCTCGCCTACACAGCTTCGCCTGCACAGCCTCGCCTGCACATTGAACCAAGCTCGCCTGTAAAGGCTGAAGCTCGCCTGTAAGGAAGTTCGTCTGCAAGGATAGAGTTCGCCTAACAGCATTGAAGATCGTCTGGATCAGCCTCGCCTGCACAGCTCGCCTGCACAGGCTCGCCTGCACATTGAACCAAGCTCGCCTATAAAGGCAGAAGCTCGCCTGCAAGGAAGTCCGTCTGTAAGGATAGAGCTCACCTAATAGTGTTGAAGCTCGCCTTGATGAGATTCGCCTGCACAGCTCGCCTGCACAGCCTCGTCTGCACAGCTTGCCTGCACATTGAACCAAGCTCGCATGAAGGCCTACCTCGCCTAATAGCTCGAAGCTCGCCTGTTTGGCAAGCTCACCAGCACAAAGGTTCAAGCTCGCCTAAAGACCAAGCTCGCCTGACAGCTTGCACCTCACCTGCGCGGACTAAGCTCGCCTAACAACTAGAAACCCGCCAGCATTGTCAGCTGCCTACTTAGAGTATAGGAACAGTCACATCAGTGGTCAAATCCCACAAATCAAGGGAGAAAGTATGGTGCTCCTCACCTAGCAAGAATAGGGCGGCTGACAGAACCCCCTAAGTGGTCACATCCCACAGCTAGGGCGGCTGGCTCCCTCACCCTTACTAGTAGTCAAATCCCACAAATCAAAGGATGACTCATGCCATCCCTTGCATATTTAAAGCCACTTTCAGCCAACGTGAAAGAGGTTGATTAGCGGCTGCTTTCTTGGCTGGCTAATCTTCCAATGGTTGAACCTTGGCTCATTTGCTAAATGCTCCCTCATTTGAAGAGACTCGTCTGAACTCTCAGACTGGAGGCTCTTAGGCTCTTTGCAAGCTCTTGCATGGTAGCTCTATCAAAGCGGTCAGTCGACAAGCCCAATCCCCCCGTTTGACCTCGGGTATAGTCGAACTCGATCAGCACAAGCTTCTACTGCGTACTGAAGCTTGCCCACAACTTTGATCGGATCATCCAAGGGAAGTAGACTCGGTGCGAGAACCGAGCGAGGCGTCCTATCGCTGCCAAAGTCCCCACGTTAAACAAGGAGGGCATTCCCTCCGCTTCTGTTGTAATTTCGATTCATTAGTTTGTAATAATCTATTGTTATCAATACAAACAAAATCCCTGTTTCGGGAGATCAAAATTTACACCTACAGAAGATGGCGACCATAGTGGGAGTAACCGTTCATTCAGATGAATTGGTGGTGGCGCAGTTTGACGAAGTTACAGAAGGGACTATCGTCGAGTCCCTCTTCATCGAGTTCGATCAAACGAAGTACGAAGAATACTTGTCTTCGACTTCCTCGTGCGGCAAAATGTCACGCAAGCACCGAAAGGTTGTGCGTGTAAGTCGGCCCAAGCAAATCGAGAGCCTTACCGGAGTAATCGCTGGGGGTTCCATTCCCCCCAAGGCGATTGATGCCAAGGACGAACGTCAAGTTCCCAATTCTAGCGAACTGCGTCAATCAGGTGAGCCCACTTACTCAGACAGGCTTCTCTCCGTTGGTAGAGTTTCCAAATCTGGCGAACTCGGTGTCCTAAGCGTGCCTGACAGTCCAGGTAAGCTTTGCTTTGTGAGCAAGGTTCCTAATTCTGACGCTCAAATAAGGCGAGCCCACCAAATCAGGCGAGCCAACCAAATCAGGCGAGCTCACTTACTTAGGTGGGCTTAACAATTCAGGTGAAGTTTCTAATTGTTGTGAACCTCGCAAATCTGGCGAACTTAATAGTTCAGGCGAAGTTTGTCAAGCTCGCTTGATAGCCCTAGCTCGCTCCCAAGTTCAAACAGGCAGATTTCACCAAGCTCGCCTGACGGCCCAAGTTCGTAAGATGGCTGAACTTTGCCAACAAACCCGAGCTCGCCTAACGTCACGTCACAACTTCGTTCGCAAGCCGACCTTTGCAAGAAAGGTAAAGCTGTAACTTGCCCAACAGGCGAGCCTCAATAGGTCGAACCTCGCCAGACTGAGCCTCATCGACAGATACGAGCTCGCCAACAGATGCGAGCTCACCCAATAGGCGAACCTCGCCAGACTGAGCCTCGCCGACGAGCTCAAGTATTCCAAACAGGCGGACCTCGGTAAGCTTGCCTAACAGCTCGACCCCATCTGCAAGAAACGATAGTTCGCCAAACAGGCGAACCTTGCCTGTAAGAACTGGAGGTTGATTCTCGCCAACAAGCTCAAGGTCGCCGACAACGCGAACCTCGCCTGAATGAACAGATGGCTGAACTTCACCAACAGGCCTAAGCTCGCCTGTCTAGGCAAGGTCGCATGAGTTCAACGCTTGGAAAATTTCCTAAGTGTTCCCATTTGGACTCCCCTGAGTCTCCTTCATTTGAGAGCCAGCTGTCGTCTGAGGCTCATGCTCGTCTTGAACCTCGCCTGAACGACCAGTCGGCTCAATCTCACCAGCAACCAGCTGAAGGTTGCCCAAATGCTCAAGCTAACCTACAGTCGGCTAGAGCTCGCCCACATTCCGGACCTCGCCTATCTCGACACGGTCGGTTGGATCCGACACTTAGGGAATTTCCCA